ACCCAAGCTCTGAAACAGGGAACGTGGGGAACTGGATCAACCTAAAGCGCATCCCCAGACACGGTACGCAGGTAACGGCAAAAAGGTGCAACCGGACAACAAAGGACGCACCCCCGGCCAAACCAATCAAGCATCAATAACCCAAGGACCCCTCTGGAAAGCAACCGTCTCGACCATCGCCAGAAGAATGGAGAATGGCTGCAAACGTACTAACCTACCACCAGTACCAAAGAGCAGAAACCTCTGCACCGGAAGAGGTGGAAGCTCCCCGACCAGACCCACAGAGGCCCATGCCAACAAAATATGGCCTATGAAAACCAAACTTGAACCGAAGGGACTACCACAAACTGAGGAGAAGATAAGAGGGCACCCTGATCAAGGACCAGGATGGTTTAGGCGACGCATGAGCAAGCCATAGGTGAAACAAAAAACGAGAAAGCGTACGGAACGGGGCAGATGTGACATCCACCCCGAACGCAAGCCAGAGCAGCTCCGCCAGCGCCGCATAAAACGAGGTGACAGTAAGAAACATCAAATAACTGTAGTCCTGAAAACTCAAGAAAGGACAAGACAACCCGATGCAAAAGAGAAGACAACCTACGAAGAGCAAGAAAAAGGTGCAAAGAAACGTCAGGAACGTTATACTGTCGCCGAGACGAAGCTCGCAGGTGGGACACCATCAACGAAGCCACCTGATCACCATAGAGATGGTGATACCCGTGTCAAAATACCAGACGCGAAGAGCCTAGGAGAAGGCCGAACCAATCACATACAGGACCAGTCCGACCTGCCGAAAGAGGCTGAGCCACAGGAAAACGCCCCGGGTTCGGACACCTATCAAGCAGCGTCTGAAAATAAAGCTGGGCCAGCCACCAAGGGACCATGAGGACTACTCTCCTTGGGAATGAACTCCAACCGAGCCAGAGCCCGAAGCAACAACTGGACCGGGAGAAGAGGAACAGATACCCCCACCTCGACCAGTCCCGTCTAGATCACGACAACACGAAGATGTCCATGGCCAGGAGTCCATACGTCCGGCAGAGCCAACGAAACAAGTCGGTGATGACTGGCCAATCCGCGAACATAGGAATGAACCAAGACAGGCTGTCCGCCTAGACGTAGGACACACCCCGGACATGAAACTCACAGTTAGATAGACCCGGAGAATCCAGCAAACAAGCCACTCGAAGGGACCAACCCCAAAGGTCAAACACCTAAGAGAAACCCTGTGGTTCCGACAAAGAACCGCCAGAAAACAGTCCAAATGGAGCTGGATAGTAGAGCACCGAGTGACCTGAAACCTCCGAAGTGCAAACCAGACAGCCACGAACTTCCAAACCGTGCTGTGAACTAAATGGACGGATAGACCCCACCATCCCCGGCCGACCTGGTGAGCACTGGTCACAAAGCCCCAGCCGAGAGATGACCCGTCCGTGAACACATCGAGTGAAGGCTCGGGGAGGTGCCAAGGCACGGAACCCCGAAAACCCCAAAGAGGAAGTTGGTGACACAGCACCAACACAAGATCCCCGGAGGAACGAACCCAACGATTGCAAGAGAGGCGGAAGGGGAGTCTCCGAAGGAACCAAACAGATGCCGAAGCCAAACCCGACCCCGCAGGCAGACCAGCACGTCGAGGTTCAGACTCCCACATAACTGGTCGAGCAACTGCTGAGCAACCCGGGACCCCCTCATGAACAGCCGAAGGCGGGACCACAGCCGCAGCAACACTTCTGGATGGAAAGACAAGGAGCGGCCCAAGAGCCCTAAACAAGACCCAGCCAGGTCCGAACCCGGGACGGAAACAGATGGAACGGCCTCCAGATCACCAGGAAACTGAACCCGGCGATCTGGAAAGAACCACACCCCTGGCAAGCAGACAAGCGGACTGACTGGGAGCCCACACCAGCCAGTCGTCGAGGTAGGCCAGACACCAAATCCCAAGCAGACTCAGACAGGGCACCAAGATCAGGTAAAGATGCGTAAATACACCAAATGCCAATTACAAAATAGGGAAGGCAACAAAAGCGGCAAGCCTGAAGCCCTACCACCAACTGTGCCAGTCCCGAAAACCTGGAGAGGAACGTGCCAAAAAGTGACCTGGAGGTCCAGGGCCACCATCCAGGTACCCGGCCCCAACAAAAGCCAGACCGGAGACAACAGTCCTCTGATAAGGGCATAGAATCCAGGGCGCAGACTGAACAAGTCCAGAAAAACCACAGATCCGCCAGGCCCGTGTCTGCATAGAGCAGACGGGAACCCTGGAAGGATGGGGCAGATCGACCACGTCCAACGCACCCACTAAGATGACATGACGAAGCGCAGGGGAAGAAGCCCACCCCGCCAGCCCTGAACCCCCGCAAAGGGGGGAGAAGCCATCAGCCGCCACCAGATCCGGAAAACAACCAAAAACGCCCACTAACTGCGAGACCAAGCGAGAGTCAACAGAGCAAGCTGCTCTCCCAGCGTCCCCTCAACACCGAAGGGAACAGAGCCCCTACCGAAAGAAAAAGTACATATACACACACATACACTTGAAAAGAAAATCACAAGCCGCCGACCAGTGGGCAGAGAGCACCACGCCGGCCAGGCGAAGAAGGCATAAAACTGCTTCAAAAGGCAATCTCGACAACAAAGCCCAAAGCCCCGGCACGACCACAACATGTGCCAAGAACCTAAAGGAACCCGGAATCGAACCTGGGGGAGCCCAAACCACCACATTTGCCGGCGGAGATACACCACAGAAAGGCAAAGCACAGCCTCCAGACATAACCCCCAGGGAAATGGCCCTGGGGGTTATTTCCCCCAGGGCCATTTTACACCTGGTGTAAAATCAACACCCAAACATTCCCAGAGGAATAAAAGAGGGGCAGGAAACACCAGAAAAGCAAAGAAACGACAACAGGAGAAAAAACCCTGAAAAAGGTGAAAAAACTCACCCAAGATGCTCGCTCGCACATCCAGGCGCATGTAAACAAACCGCAACGCCGCCGTGGTGGTCACGCCAGGAAACCGGCAGAAGAAAATGGCCACCAGAACAGGGGGTCGTGACCAACACAAAAGATACGAAAACATGCCAGCAAAAGTGGTAAGGAACCAGACTCGATGGGCAAAAAACTCCTCTTAGAAGCAGAAAACCCAGGGAGCAGCAAACAGCCCCAGAAATGCTAGCAGGCATTCCCCACAGCCCCGGGAACCGGCAACAGAGGCCCTGGGGCAGAGCCATCCTCTAAGCCCTCCGCCCTTTAAGAAAAGTTAGAGTCCATGGGAAATGCAGCAAGAAAGGGCCGCTGGTAAGACCCAGAAGCCTTGGCAGGTGGAACAGGCTTGAAAACCTCCGTCCCCAACCCGAACGGGGCAGCCCCCGAAACCGCCCAAGTCTCGGCCCCAACTAAACCCCGCCCGACCCCGAAACCCGCAAACGGTCCGGAGCCGCAAACAGGGAGGGAAAGGGGCGAATAGCACCTAACCAAAACGGGGGCGGCCCCAGGGCATCCAAGTGGGAAACCAACCTAGCGTGTTGCAGCAACCTAACCTAGCTTGCAACACAGATGCCGCCTGTACTCTGAACAGTAATAACATCAGGAGAGTACTGGAGAACAACCAAAGAATATCTCTCGCAAGATTCCGGGTCAAGGTGTCATTGACCCAACAGGCAACATGATGGAGGTAAAAGTGGCGACTGTCACCCGGAGACAAGGGCACAGCAACCAACGAACCCGTACAAGATGGGTTGGAACCCGGAAAACACATTCAATGGTCCACCGAGCCCCGACGGGGTTTTCCAGGGCCCGTAGGGTAACAACTATGGGAAGCCCGGGCAAAGTGTTGCTAACCGGTTAAAACCCAAAACTAACAAGGGGGTAGAGGACAACACTGAAAATCCCTGCGACGAGTACAATCACAGGGGTCTAGCAGAGGGCCACCAAACACTACCAGTGGAACTATAGCCACACTAGGCAGACCCCCCACCAGGCAAATGAAAATAAGAACAAAAGAAAAACCCCGCAAAAGTACACCGTCCTTAGAGGCAACAGGAACCGGCTGCCGCGTAGGTAGCAGGTCGCGCAACACCTTGACGCCCTAACCAGTACAATACCAGTCCCTACCCAGGGCCAAACAAGGGCCCCAAGCCCCAGCTGGCCCCAGGGCAAGGCAAATGCCGAGCAGCAAGAACCTCCATGGGAATGGTTCCCGGACGCCCCAGGGAAGATAACCCTATCACACAGGGGCAGTACTCACAGGGCGCTTAGGGAAGGAAGCCCTTAATTAAGCACATGCAGCCCCGGTACTGATGAGGAACACCTGGCCACCGCACAACACAACACACGGCAGTGAACGCCACGAAAGGCAAACACCGCCTAGGAAACTGAGGCCAGAGAAGCGTCTGTCCCGGTTGACATTAGCTTAGGAACTGATGCTAGGCAGCCGGCGTGGTGAGGTCCGGGGATCCCCCCTCCCCCTCACGGGGCGGGGAGGACTGCACAGACGATCGGCGCGGCAGTAAAGTGTGATGTTTGCTTGTTTGCTTGTTTCCTTGGGATTGTAGGGAGGAGTTTCTACCTCTCTGTTCGGTTTCATGTTTTAGTTTTTTACCATGTGGGGTTTGTTTTGTTATGCCTACCTTTCTGGGTGCCTAACCCTGGTCGATGGCAAATAAGGAAAACCCCAACCACAAGAGGGTTTTCTAGGACCATTGCTTCCTGTAACCTCTCTGAAGGGACCAGGTTCTGGTGCTGATCCCTGGTAGGTCTGAACTCCTTAGCTAATGTCCCGGTCTAATATAACATACATTAGCCCGATAAGCTCCAGGGAGCCATAGGGGTTCCCCACAGAAAATGGGTGCTTGTCTCCTGACACAATGAATTACAGTATTGCACCTGAAATTATAAATTATTTAATGTATGGCAGAGCTAAGTATTGAAATGTAATCCAATAATCCTAAAAACAGTGCAACCTTGTAATTACAAAACACATGAAACTATTTCACAATGACTCACTTATTTCAATTTTGGGTTCATGGGAGGCAGGTTGTGTGACAGATGGTGCTACCTGTGCTACAGGTTTAGGTATGGGAGCACTTGGGGACCCTGGTAAAGTGGTCAGGTCCACGGCCTGACCACTCTCGGCAGCTCTAAGCATTGGCTCCATCTGTTTCATAATTTTCATATAGTGAATAGCTTGTTCTTTATCTCCATGTTTCTTTGATGCAAGTGCTGCTATTTTATACTCTGTGTGAAGGTTGCGGATAATACTGGCAGGGTCTGATGATGAAGTGGTTCGTTGGAGTGGTGGTCCTGATGATATAGTTCGTTGCAGTGGCACACCTGATGATGGGCTACTCTGATGCACAGGAGGCGGAGGAGGAGGAGCTTGCTGTGTGGAAGAAATTTTATCTCTTGATTCATAAATCAAATGTTTCCCTTCCCAGCTAAGTAAGGTGGAAATGTTCTTGTCACAGTATATTCATAATAATAAACTTGGTTTAAATGATAATGCTTGGCATTTATAAAAAACCAGCGTTGAATGTAATGAAACATCATTTTCTGGGTGAGTCCCAGAGGCTCCTCGGAGCTATCCAGGCTGAATTGATATGTATATCTTTCTGGCATCAGTCAATGCATGGAGTTCTTGCCTAGCGGGGACCACGAGCCAGAACCTGGCCCCCTCTAGAAAGGCACGAGGAGAAATGGCCTGTTCTTGTAGTTGGGAGCATTCTATGTCTGCCATCGACCGGGATAGGCACCCAGAAAGGAAGGCGCCCCAAAACAAACTCCTATTCTGGTAAAACTATTGCGACCGAAAGCCAAACAAGTGGACAGAACTCACCAAACAAAAATTAGCAAACAAGCATGACATCATCATGTCGCCGAGCCACTGTCTGCACAACTCCCCCTCCCCAGAAGGGAGAATGAGGGGGCCCCAGACCCACCCTCCAGCAACCCAACCTTCAGTTCTTAGGCTGGATGTAAAAAAGCATGAAAAACACAGCCGACCGGAGGGAGGGATGCCAGGGAGCCTCCGGGACTCACCCAGAAAATGGCGTTTCATTACATTCAACGCTGGTTTTCTGGGAGGAGCCCCGTTGGCTCCCCAGAGCTAACTACCCAAAGATAAGGAAAAAACAGGGACTTCCCCGAGAGGCAGTCCGTCCTCACTCCTCAACGCGAAGTCGTGACAACTGACTGCAACCACTGACCCAATGCAACGCAGGCCCTACCTGACACAGGAACATTTACCGGGTAGCGAGCTGTCAGGACCTTGTTCAAACTCCAAAAACCCCGTGCCCAAATGTCAACCCAAGACATGTTGCCAAAGACAGCAGCCAAAGCAGCAAATTTACGCATGTTGTGGGCACGGGGATAAACCACAGGCTGGCTAGACTTAATAACCGTGCGGACAACCTGAGAGATCCGAACCTGGGAACAGGAAAGAAGGGAAACCAGGTCAACCCAAAGCGCATCCATGGCCACTGAAGCCATGGAGCACAAATAATAGTGAAGAGCCGTAACCGGACATCACATGATGCACCCCAGGACTCACCAATCAAGCATCAACAACCCAAGGCCCTTTCCGAAACGCAGCTGTCTCATTCTTCGTCAGAAAAGAAGGAGACGGCTGCACCGAACAAAAGGACCACCAGGACCGAAAGAGCAGAAACCCCTGCACCAGAGGAGAGCATGAAGCTCCCCGACCCGACCCCAGAGGCCAATGCCAACAAGAAAAAGAGCTTTAGAAAAAAAATCCCGAACGGAAGGGGCCACAACAAACTGGTGAGTAGAAAGAAACAAAAGTACCCGGTCCAAAGACCAGGACGGCTCAGGAGGCGCATGAGCAGGCTGGAGGTGAAACAACGCCCGAGACAGCTTGCGGAATGAGGCAGAAATAACATCAACACCGAAAGAAACCTGAAGCGGCTCCGCCAGCGTCGCACGATACGAGGCGACAGTATTGGGCATAAGATGACAGTCCTGGAACAACCAAGAGAGAAAGGACAGAACAACACAATCAGAGACCTAAGAATACCTACGCAGTGATAGGAAGAACCAGAAAGACTGCCAGGAAACTTCATACTGTCGCCGAGACAAAGCACGCAGGTGGAAGATCAACAACGAAGCCACCTGCGCACCATACAAGTGATGATAAACTCGAGTCAAAAACTCCAGACGTGAAGACTAGAGAAGACCGAACCAGCCTCTTACCGGGCTGGACCGATCTCCTGAAAGAGGCGGAGCCGGGGGAAAACTCTCGGGTTTGGACACCGAGAAAGCAGCGCCTGAAACCAAGGCTGGGCTGGCCACCAAGGAGCCAGAACGACAACTCTTCCCTGGTAAGTCTCCAAGCAAGCCAGGACCTGGAGCAACAGCTGAACCGGGGAAAAGAGGTACAGGTAACCCCACCTCGCCCAGTCCAGCCGAAAGGCATCGACCCCGACAGCCTCGCAGTCAGGAAAGGGCGCCACATATAACCGGGAGACACCTCGACCACGCCGACGCGAAGAGATCCCTGTCCGGAGTCTCGAACGTCTGGCACAGCCAACTGCAGGAGTCGGCGTCGACCGTCCATTCTGTGGAAAGAGGAAAGAAACGAGACAGGCCGTCCGGCAGGACGTTGGACATCCCCTGGACGTGAACCGCCAGAGAGCCAAACCCTGGCTCTCCGAACCCCACCTCCCCTGGCCGGACTGGTGAGCACTAGACACAAAGCCCCAGCCAAGAGACGACACATCTGTGTACACATTGAGTGAGGGCTCAGGTAGGCGCCAAGGCACTGAACCCCGAAAAACTGGAAAAGGAAGCCGGCGGCGCAGCAACCAACGCAAAGCCCCTGGAGGCCGAACCCAACGATTGCGAGAGAGAGGCAGAAGAACCTTCCCCAAAGGAACCAGAACAGCCGACGAAGCCACACCCGACCCGGCGGGTAGACCATCATGGTAAAGTTCAGGCTCCCACACAAACTCTCGAGCAACCGCCTCATGACCTGGGAGCCCCTCAGGAACAGACGAAGGCAGGCACGCAGACGGAGCAGAGCCACCGGAGGAAGAGACAAGGAATCGGTCAGAGCGTCCCAAACCAGACCCAGCCAAGACCGAACCTGAGAGGGAACCAGATGGGACTTCCTCCAGTTCACCAAGAACCCGAAACTAGCGAGCTGGGAAAGAACCAAATTCCTGGCGAGCAGACATGCAGACTGGCTGGGAGCCCAAACTAGCCAGTCGTAGAGGTAGGCCAGAAACCGAACACCTAACAGACAAAGACGGGCCACCACAACCTGAGTAAGGCGTGTGAAAACGCGAGGTGCCAGATTCAAAAGCGGTAACCCTGACGCCACACAATAAAACCGAACCAGTCCCAGAACCTCGGATGAACCAGAACGTGCTAATACACGTCCTTGAGGTCCAGGGACACCATTCAAGCGCTCGGCTCCAACAGAAGACGGACCTGGGACAGAGTAGTCATTCTGAAGGTGGGGCTAGACACCCATTGGTTCAGACAGAACAAGTCCAGAATGAACCGGAGGTCCACGCAGTCCCGTTTCAAGACCAGGAACAGGCGAGGAAACCCACCTGAGGGATGAGGTCGTTTCGACCACACCAAGTGAACCCACTCCAAAACGACCTGATAGAGTGCAGGAAAAGAGGCCTTCCCCGTCAGCCCCGAACCCCCTGAGGGAGGAGAGGCCATTCAATGCCACCACAGGCCGCACGAAATGACCCGAAAGGCCCACGAATCGTGGAACCAGGCACGAGCAAACAGAGCAAGCTTTCCCCCCCCCATATCTTCCCGTTAATGGGATGAACCGCAAAAGGGCCGATGCACTTTACGATAACCTGAGCGGCGAACAGGGCGATCCCTGTGCCAACCAGAAACAGACGGAACCGAAGGCTGCGCCTGCCCTGAAACTGGCACCACTGGCCTACCATGACGAACGGAAACCTGAGCCCTGTCACAACCTTTCTGGGAAGGCCCCCCACGAGCACCCCGAAGCACTAACAAGTCAGACATAGGTCGATAATTAACCGAAGCCGCCTGCAGGTACTGCACCACTGCAAACTCTGCAAACAGCAAAGGACAAAAAGGAGAAGACAAGCGAAGAGCCAGGGGCCCAAACAGGTTCCAAGTTAGAAGCAAGTACCGCCTGCTGACACACGAGGCAAGAAGAACTGCACAACCGCATCACGCAGGAGTGGCGAGCTTCAACAAAGCAGACGACATCTGCACCACAGAGGGCAGCGCCCCAGACCCGGCAGTGGTCCCAAGCGCTCACACATCCAATTCAAGTCAATCCAAGGACAACTCAAGGAGGAAAAAGAAATGCAGGGCCGAAGCAAGCAGGCCACGAGTATGCAAATCCTCCGCAACCAAGGCATCCGAAAAGGAAGGAAGCTGCCTTGATTGCACGTGAAGCTGCGAAACACCAACATCCCGCAGAAAGGCAGGGGCGAACAAACAAGCATTGAGGTGCTCGAAGTCACCCACCAAGAAAACCTGAAACGCCTTCTGAGTCTCTCGCCAGTCAAGCGTGCAGGACCAACAGAACGTGTGTCAAACCTCCAACGCCGCAACCCCAGAAGGGGACACCCCCGAGACCGCCAGAGTCTCACCACCAACTAGACCCTGCCCCGACTCCGAAACCCTCAGACGCTTTGTAGCCGGAAGCAAGGGGAGAGGGGAAGACCGGAAGAACAACAGAGGGGGAAGGACTAGGAGGGACGGACGGAACCAGAGCCGAAGCAACTTCCACCCCCAAAGTCCATGACCCTATAAGCAAAACTGGGCAATCCCGGGGGCATCCGGGGACGCAACTAACCTAGCGCGTTGCAGCAACTTAAATCTAGCATGCAACACTGTAGCTGCCTGCACCCGCATTTCATGATCAGTGGCTTGGGTGAACTGGAGCACGTACAGACAACACACGTCGCACGACTCTGGGTCAAAACAATCATTGACCCAACAGGCAGCATGGCGGAGGCAAAACCGGTGAGTGTCACTCTGAGACAAGGGGACAGAGCAATCTTCAAACTCACAGGACGCAAGGGGGGGACTCAGGGGTCACATCCATTGGACCACGTAGTCCCTGTGGTGTTTCTCAGAGCCCTTAGCCTTGGTTACATGCTAAGGGAAGCCCAGGCAGTGAACTGCGAACCAGCGCCCAAATCTACCAAACAAACTTCTAAAGCTGAAACCCCCGGGACGTGTCCACTCACGGGGGCCAAGCGGGGAGGACCACCAAACACTGAATATAGATATATATACCCCAAGAACAGCGATGGGGGACCACAAAGGCAGACCCCCACCAGGCAGAAAACAAAAACAAAAGAAAAACCCTGCAAGAGGACAATGTACCCAGGCGGAACAGAGCCGGCCGCTGTTACT